AGGTAGCGTTAGCGGTTAATAGATTATAAGTCATCATTGACGACGACCGTTTGACCATAACAGATGTTGGGAACTCTTAAAATAGCACCTTTAGGGCGTGAATTAGGTTCAAATTTTAATAATAAATAGGTTTCGAATGGTTAAATGGATGGATGCTAGAGATACTTAATAAACATTAATTTCTTAAATACAATCGAAAAAACTACTGTTTTTATTTCTACGTAGATTTTTAGTGTCACAGCGCTTATCTTTGACAATTAGGTGAAAGTTACGCTTTCTGTCGGTCATGACAGTTTTAACGATTCACTTAACGTCAATAATTTTTGCAGAAAATAAGGAACAGCTCAAAACAGATTCTTTTTTCCTTTATATAAGTAATTTTGCTTGTTTATCGGCGGGTTGTTGCTTTTAAAAGATTGTCACATCTCACATTCTCACATCATTTCTTCTCTCTCTACCTCTCTTTCTCTGTCTTTCTCTTCCTCTCTCTCTCTCTCTCTCTCTCTCTCTCTCTCTCTGTTTTCCTCCCTCTCTCTTTCCCTCCCTCTCTCTCTCTTTCCCCCCTCTCTCTCTCTTCCCCCCCTCTCTCCCCCCCTCTCTCATAATGTTTTTAAATATTGTTCATCAAATCTTCTATTTAATTATTATATTATGTTATCTATATATTACATTATTTTTTTACTTCCATTATAGTAAAAAGTCCAAATTTATCGGCTTTTTATTTATCTTCTATTTAGAAAGTTCAGACCTAGAGACCCTTGGCTTCGATACTATTGACTAGTTTTTTCCACTTTAAACGGCTTTACTTGTGTTGTGCAGACTCTTGTTCCCATTTCTTCTATTTCGGTCTGAAGGGCATCAAAACACTTCCTTCGTTGTCTTCCTCTTCTTTGTTTCCCTTGTTCTCCTGCTTGCGGAACTCTTGGGACGTTTCTTTCTTTATGCGTTCGTAAAACCTGTCCCAACTGTCTAATTCTCGATGCTCTGATATTCTGCGTTATTTTGGGTCTCGTATAACTCTCCGTTAGCTCCTGGTTTGTTCCTCTGCGTCATTCCCGATTAGTCTCCTTTATCCCACCAAAAACTTTTCTAAGGATTTTCCTTTCCCAAATCTCTAACTTTATTCATTGTCCAAGTGTCACATGCATACAATACTGTTTATCTCACTATTGTTTTCATAAGTTCGAATCTTGGCTACCCTGGACACGTTTTTTGCCTTCAACAATGCGTTTAACGATCCTACCGCTTTACTGCCTTTTAACAACCGCTTGTCTAGTTCTTTCTCGTCGCCTCCTCTATTTGTAACTGTTACTCTAAGGTACTCAGTCTGTTAACCTATTCAAATTTATACTGTGCCTCATTGGTTCTTAGAGTGATCCTTTTACATACTTCTGCATATTACCCTATCATTTCCATATATTTGATTTTTTCTTGATTTATAGTCAGGCCATATTTTCTAACTTTTGTAAACATATTTCGAAATTTTATTCTTGAACGTGTCAGAAATACCAAGTCATCTGCAAACAAACATATGCATTGTTGTCTTTTGTTAAGAATTGCGCCGCTTGTCTGGATCTTGGCTCCTCTAAATATTTTTCTAGTACTGGGTTGAAAAGTTTGTTGAGAGGAGATCTCACTGTTTTTTTTTTCTCTATTCCCGTTAAACGGATTTTAAAGACTTCTTTCTATCCTTACTTTATTGACTGTATTAGTTATCGTCATTTTAATTAATCGTATCAGTTCCTCTGACATTCCTACTGATTTTATTGCTTCGTATAATCTCTTTCGTGAGATGGAGTCGTAATCCTGTTTAAAATCAATAAACACTATATGAAAACCTAGATTATGTTTTTTAGGTAGGTTTTTAATTTACCTCTTATAATCTTTGCTAATGCTTTATATACTACTTCTAACAGTGCGATTCCTCTGTGATTTTCGCAGACAGGTTTATCACCTTTCTTGTGAATTGGACAGATGAATGCTGTGTTCCATTGTTGTGGCATTTTTCGTTTTCCCAATTTTTTATAAGTCAAGCTATCTTTTGCTGTAATATAACATATAACTCTTCCTGCCTTTAATATTTCTGCTGACACTCTGCTTTCTCCTACACTTTTTATTATTTTTCAAGTCGGTTCTTGTGTTTGTTGCTTTTCCGATTCATGTGTTCGTTGCTTTTCCGATTCATGTGTTCGTTGTTGTATTTCTGTTCCTGTTAGGCCATTATAGTTTCAAAATTCATCAAAATATTTTGTCCATCTGTTTAATTGTTCTGTCTTCTCTTCTAGTAACACACTATCTTTACTTCTACAAAATATTGTAATTTTACTTTGTGTCACCCGCGTCTTTTTTCCTCATTGATAAAAATTTCTCAATTCTTTTTGAACATAGTTTTCTTCTATTATTTCTATTATTTCTAGTTGTTTTAACAGTGAATTTCTATCCTTTTGTCTGCATAATAGTTTAGCTTCTCTCCTTTTTGTTTTATAAGGCTCTTTACTTCTTTCTGTATTCTAATATTTTCCATTTTGCGTTATTCCTTTGAACTAGGATTCTTTTGCAGTCCTCTTCAAACCAGTGTTCTCTCTTTTCTTTTTCTGCTTTCCCAATGCTTAACTCGGCCAATTGTATTACGCCTGTTTCTCTTCCTATTTGTTCCCTTTTGTTCTCATTCCTCCTCTAGGTTCCCCGTCTTGATTTTTCCCAATCTCATGTTTATTTCTTTTTCTATTCTTGTTGCTTCCCCTTTATCTTCTAGCTGTTTTACCCGGTATTTTTTTAGTTGTTTTCCTTTTCTTGGTTGTTTGGGGATTTCTTGCTTAAGTGTGTAGATATTGTTAATATATGTTCACTGTCGGCATCTGCTCCCCTGTATCTTCTATAATCCGTCACCGATCTATTGTATTTTTTTAATAGGAACATGTACATCTTTATGATCAAATTGTGTACTTGACATTACCATAAGGGTATGTTCTACTATTAATTTTATCCATAGTCATGACTTTTACTACCTGTTATATTCATATAAATATCTTTTCTTACTATTTTCGCACTCATACCTCCCAAGATTATTTTTATGTCATATTTTGGCACTTTTCCAATTAGCTCAACAAGTTCATAAAACTCATTTTTTATTTGGATGTCTTTCTCTTCTGTAGGAGCATGTGCGTAATTTTTTATATTTCTCGCTCACAGTCTTTCTGATATTTCTTGAAAATTAGTTACTACTCGGCTTACTCTCTCTGATACCATAAAACCCATTCTCAGACCTCTATATGGTCCACCGCTTTAAAAAAGAGTACTTTTTCCACACTGTCTTATTTTCGAGCTGCTTTGTTTCTTTTAAGACCATTATTTCGATTCCACATTTCTCACGTATTTCATCTAAATTTCTTAATGTTCCTTTCTTCCTATCTTCTTTTCCTTCCTTCAAAATCATCGCCCTTGTTGTAGCCATATCGTTATAATTTTTTATTTACTGCTTACTATTTATTAGTTGTTTGACCCACTTGTGCAGTTTCCCCTTTTTTTTATTTAGTATAACTGTTCCTTCTTATTATTCATTTCCAAAAGATCTAATCTACCGCATCCAGTTTTCAGCTGGAAGTAAACAAACCCAAGGTAGTTCATTTCGGGGGATTAGCTCCGTACCTTGAAACTGATCCACCCTTTTGGCTTCAATCGATCCCTGATAGTCCAGTCATTCAAGGCGAATAAAGGAGGGAGCAGTGTTACGAAAGTCTGTAAGATTTATCCCACATAGAACAAGTAACTTGACGAAAAAGAAGAAGCAGTGCGAGGACATTCAAGATGCCATTGATTCATGAAATGTCTCGTGAAGTTTGGAACGTTAGAAAATATAATATAAACATAAACAGATATTTTTGACAGAACAGTAGTATTATTTTGATTCTATAGTTGTCATTGAGTTGTTGTAAACTATTCTTTGTTTCACGTTAAGAAAATAACATTACGCTTATGGAGATCAGTGTTGCCAAAACTCTCAGACACTCTCTTTTGCACGGATGTCCAAGATATTCCCTTTGCTTAATTTTTAAATTTTCATTTTCAATTAATATTTAACTGTAAAGTCAGAATAACTACTAAATAAAAGTCTTATTATCATTATGTAGTCAGAGACGACATAAAATAGCTGACATACGCACATCGTATTATTTTAAGTTGCAATTAGTAATTAGATATACGCATTCCAAGCGGCCAATATTTTCTACTGATTTATATGATTCATGGCATATCGTATTCTCACCGAAAAACAAATAAACTGTCGTTACTATAATTAAAATAAGATAAAAATAAAATTATCTTTTGTAAATACTATTTATCTAATTAAAATCATTTTCCCTACTTTTCATCTCTTGTTTCGAATGGGCACTTTTGGTCAATTACGTTAAAAAACATTAATTTAATTCATGTTTGTGGAAACGAAAATACAAATTATACAAACCTAAATTGTGCTTGTGTGTGTCGTGGCAACGCCGTGTTGCTATCGTCCATAAGAAATACATGGCCCTATCTTCGCAATGTTATTTTCTAAACGTGAAACGTAGTATAGTATTGTAACATTGTTGGGGTACCCAATAAAGTTATTTTCAAAAGGTGTAACAATAGTAATGTAGTGAACAAAATTTGTAGCAAGGCATTGAATTCTAGATTATTTGCTAAGTTGTATCAAGAAAAAGACGAGGAATTCATATATTACTCAAACTAAGACTAAAACAGATGTAATGATATGTAATGAGAATCAGAGGTAATGAGAAGAACCAACGTTAGCTCGACAAACTCTTCACAATATTAGCGTCGAAAATTTGAGCAGCTATCACGACCGCCAATCTACTTAACGGAGATGGCACTTGTAAAAGCACTAAGTTTTTCTAGTACCAAAGTTAAAAGGACAAATTCAGGAAACAGTTTAACAATCGATAAAAACTAAGATCACAAAGAAAGACTTTCAGAATATAACTTTTTAAAATTTTTTGTTACAGGTACTTCAGCAAGCAGGAAATGTAGAAAGACTAGGCAGGTTTTTGTGGTCATTGCCAGCATGTGATAAACTTCATAATAACGAATCAGTTTTAAAAGCCAAGGCAATAGTAGCTTTTCATAGAGGAAATTTCAAAGAATTATATAGGATACTAGAGAGTCACACATTTAGTCCACACAACCATTCAAAGCTACAAGCCTTATGGTTGAAAGCACACTACATCGAAGCAGAAAGACTAAGAGGTAAGATTCCGAGATTTTTTATACGCATCGCGATATGATCTGCTTTTCTTACGTATTCATACTAAATTAGAAGTTTTCCTTCTAGCTCAGTCAGTGTATCTCGTTCCAGTGCCATCCTTATTTCTATTTCTACCCAGTCTCGTTACTGTACAGCTTTTTCTCATAAAATCCATTTCGGCTGCTGTAATTAGGCCTTACTTAGTTTGTGAGTGTTTTCTTTGTATATCCATTATACTGCGTACTATAGTATCATAAATTCTTCTTGTTATCTTTCGGCGATCTGTTTATCTTATAGTAGTTACTGTGTTTTTATAAATTCCTGATAGTTCTGTGTGAGTAACTCTCACTAGTAGTATTCTCATTCTTCTCCTTTTTATGTTATATATTTGGACCTTTTCCTTGGTATTGTTTCTTAAATTTATATTGTTATAGGTAGGCCATTAGGTGCGGTAGGCAAATACAGAGTAAGGCGAAAATTTCCTCTTCCGAGGACGATATGGGATGGAGAAGAGACTAGTTATTGCTTCAAAGAAAAATCTAGAAGTGTTCTAAGGGACTGGTATTCTCACAATCCTTACCCAAGTCCTCGAGAGAAGAGGGAATTAGCCGAGGCTACAGGCTTGACCACGACGCAAGTCTCAAATTGGTTCAAAAACCGACGACAGAGAGACAGAGCTGCAGAACACAAAGATAGGTAAGTCGGAATTATTTGTTTCTATATTTAACTCATTGTCCATCTTCTATAATAGTATAGTAAACATTTTATAACAAACATGTGCGATGCTAATTTAGCAGTAAGATAAAATTAAACAGTGCAGAAAAAGAAAACGAAAAATTCAACGAAAATTTAAAAAATATATTTGTTTTACTTGCGTTTAACAATATTTGTTACATAGTATAAAGTGGAGGTGTTTTTTAGAAAATAAGTAATTTAAGATTCATATCGATGTACTAGAAATTTTCGTGAGATTATACCAACATTACCTAGGCTTTTTTGGCCTAGGCGTTAGCCACTCTTAAATATGATGTCTTCTATCATGATTTTAAAAAATGTAATTACCAAGTTTTAAATGAATATTTAGCCTCAATTCCTTGGAACAATGTATTAGATGAATCAGATATAAATTGCTGCTTAGAAAATTTTTACCATATTTTATATGATGCCATCAATATGTTTGTTCTTATCAAACGGTTTAAATCATTAAACTTTCCAGTTTTTTCGCGAGAATTAATTGAGCTTGTCATACAGAAAAAAATAGCTCACAAGAATTTTAAAGCATCAGGCAACTCATATGATGAATTTTCGGTGTTAAGGGAAAGATGTAAAGCATTACAAGCAGTATGTTATAAGAACTATTTAGAGAATATTCAAACAAATCTTTCAAGTAATCCCCACTCTTTTTGGAGGTATGTTAGTACTACACGTGGGTCTAGTGCTTATCCTAATGTAATGTCTAATAAAGGTGGGGATGTAATAGCTCAGAATGGTGATGAAATAGTCAATTTATTTGCCAGCTATTTTTCAGGTACATATAATGATAGTGAGTGTAATGTACCTAATTTTAAATTGGACTATAATGTGGATTTCCAGAGTCTGAAGTTTAGTCTGACTGATGTTTTCGAGGGGATTAGCAGTTTAAAAACTACATATTCTTCAGGGCCTGATGGTATACCTGCAGCACTTATTAAGAACTGTATTTTTTCCCTTTGTAAACCTTTACAACAAATTTTCAATTTATCGTTGTCATCTGTATTTCCACAATATTGGAAAAATAGTTTTCTTACACCTATCTATAAATCTGGCAATCGCGAGTGTGTTAACAATTATAGAGGTATAACTATTCAATCAGCAATCCCGAAACTTCTTGATAAATTGGTATCGATAAATCTCACCTGGGCTTGCAGAAACATAATTATTGATGAACAACATGGTTTTTCTAATGGAAATCAACTGTAACAAACCTTCTCAATTACCAACAATACTTGTTGGGTGCATTTGAGAATAAAATTCAGGTTGACAGCGTTTACACTGATTTCTCAAAGGCCTTTGACCAGGTTAATCATAATCTTTTGGTCCACAAACTTCATGCATCTGGCTTTGGTGACCCCATTGTTAATTGGATTAAAAGTTTTCTGATGGGACGTACACAGCAAGTTCGTATTAACAATTATATTTCAAAAGAATTTCATTGTTATTCTGGTGTACCACAAGGGTCTCATTGTGGTCCCTTGTTTTTTAACTTGTTCATTAACGATATTGGTAAGGCTATCAAAAACTCACACTTCCTGCTATTTGCTGATGATCTTAAGATATTTCGTTGTATACATAATAAATCGGATAGAGATCTCCTGCAAGATGATGTAAACAACATATGTTTATGGTCAAAACAAAATGGTTTAAGCTTAAATCCAACTAAATGTTCTTGTATTTCATTTGGTCGTATAAATAATCTAATGGCTAATAGATATATTCTTAATGATGTACTCTTGGATTCAGTTACTGAGATTAGAGATTTGGGTGTATTATTGGATTGTGCATTGACATTTAGAAGCCATTTTCTTAAAATTAAGGAAACAGATTTCGTAATCTTGGTTTTATTTATCGCAACAGTCATGATCTCTCACCTATTGTATTTAAATTATTGTATTGCTCTCTGGTACGCTCAGGTCTTGAATACTGCTCTGTTGTCTGGTCCCCGTTTCATCAAGTATACATTGATGGATTGGAGAGCGTTCAGAGGAAGTTTCTAAGATCTTTAGCTTTTAAAGCCCATATTAATATAAAAAATACTGAAAATTATTTCATAGATTATTCTATAATAATGTCTCATTTTAACATTGATACATTGAAGAACCGCAGGTTGAGAGCTGATATGTTATTTTTGTTTAAATTCTGAACAATGTTATTAATTGTCCCTCGTTATTAGCCAATGTACACTTAAACACAATGCATAGAACTCGACACACTGCACTCTTTCATATTCCTTTTCATAGGACTGATTATGCTCGTCATTTTCCCCTGTCAAGAATGCTCAGCTCTTGCAATGACCTCCTATTGGATCCTTTCTGCATAAACATTAATGCTTTTAAAAGGCAACTTAAGAATCTGACTATTAATCTAGATATGTGATACTTACTATGTGATACTGATACTTTTTTAAAATTTTTGTGATATGATATATTGTTTTAATGTACAAATTTTAACTGTTTACTTGTTTCTTTGTTATTGTTTTGATGTTTATTGTACATGATCTTTACTTTTTACTATTTTTTGTATTTTATTGTAAATTGTTCTACCGTTGGAATGAATAAATAAATAATGAAATAAAAAATTAAAGTAAATATCATTACAGGCAGGATATAGACGTTGTCACTCGCTTCTTGTCTAGGTAACTATCAAGACATTACATTTGGACAAACTAAACAAACAGACTAGGTTACAGTTAGGAGGAAAAAACAATTGGGATAAAACATAGAAGATAATTAGGATTAAAGTTTAAAGGTTAATTTTACTTTCACGGATAAATCTCATTAACCCTTTGACAGACACCGTATAATTTTTGAGCAATGCTCAAAATACACTGCAAATTCATCAGTAGTTTGTTAACATTGGTTAAAAATTAACCTATTTGTACAAAATGGTACAAAATATCTTATATTTAAGACAAAAAACACATGACGGTCACAGCCGTGTTGTCCGATTAGAGTTAATATAAATGGTCTTATTGAACAAGACGGTCATGCCTGTCGTATTAAATGTTATGAAAATGCATTTATTGAACATAAACTACCAATAATAAATGAATGAAATACGGTATTTTAGTAATATAATGAATACAAACACAACCCTTAATATAAGAAATTGTAAAAAAACATGACGCTACTTTTGAAAACATAATCCAGGACATAATGGTCGATTTTCATTACAATCCTCACATCGCCAAGACGTTTTTTTTTTTGAAATTTTATTTTTAGATCATTGACATCATAAATAATAATTCTTGCATCTATATCCTTCAGGAACAGGAATCATTTCTTGATAATGAGGATGCCTAATTTGTTTATCATTCCTCCTCAGAGTCATTTCCTTACATTTACCTCCATGTATAGGTATAGAAAACCCACTTTTACATAACTCCTGCCGTCAGTCTTATCATATAATTTCTAAAATATAAGCTACTCATATATTCGTTCTTGGCGGTCTTCTTTTCCCTTTTGATAAATAAAGTAGGCATTGGCAATTGTTACGTCCAACAAATGAAACAACACTTTTTTGTACCAGCGAATGGTCCTTCGTGGACATGAGTAATATGAAATTAGTTGATCAGTTTTATCAACACCAGACATATTGTGATTGTATTCAGTTATATCTTTTGGTTTTACTTTGAGCTGGTTAAATCTGTTGGTTGTTTTTATCATTGTCGGATGGTAATGAGTGGATATACTACAGACGTTTCTCTTATCCTTCCATTTTTATACATAAACACGGTCTTGTCTTCTCCATATATACTGTCCTTTTCTTAGGTTCGCGCCAGTTACAATTTTTGGATTGTCTCGTCTATTAGAACGTAAGGTTCCTGTACCATGTATTCGTCTCTCTAATAATTTTTTGCATAAACTTACACTGTTATAAAAATTATCCATGAAATGTGGTGTCCTTTATTTATATATGGAGTAATCAGTCGAAGAAGTAAATTATGGAGTTATCGAGAAGTAGGGTCACGACCACGGTCACGTGCTGTCAAAACTTTACCTCTATAAATTTCGATATTTAGGACAAAGCCATCCGATGTACATAGTTCATAGAATTTAATTCCATATTTGGCCCTCTTGCTCTTCATATATTGGCGAAAAACTAATCTACCTTTGAATAGTAATAACGACTGAATATAAATTTTCTTCAGGAGTTAAAGTGTTGCGATTACCACCTTATCACTGTGAACTTAACCCCATAGAACTAATCTGGACTGAAATGAAGGGATATGTCGCAAGACATAATACAACATTTAAACTTTAAAATGTTCGTCAACTATTATCTGACTACATATCAAACATTTCTTTTAAAAATTATCAAAAGGCTATAAGACGTGTCATAGCAGAGGAAGAAACATTCTGGAAACTCGATATGTTAGAGGAAACAATAGAGCCAATTATTATTTTTGTGGAAAATGAAGCAACCAGTGATGATGATGATGCCTCCTTATTGGAAGGCGGCAATTTATATATTTAGGTAATAATTATATATTTATATTACTAATTATGTGAAGAAGACCAGGATGAAACACACTTTGGCTTCAGAAATGGACCGGATACTCGGGACGCCCTCTTTGCACTAAATGTATTACTGCAGAAATGTCGAGATCAAAGGAAAGGCGTCTTTGTTGTATTTATTGACTATGAAAAGGCCTTTGATCAGCCAGAGTACAGCATCACAAATTAATTACAATATTAAAAGATAAAGGAGTTGATAGTTAAGACAAATGATTCATAGAAAAGTTATACTGCCGTCAAACAGCGACAGCTTGCATAAACGGAAAATCAACAGAAATTTGTAAAATACAAAGAGGTGTCAGACAGGGTTGTATACTATCCGCACTGTTATTTAATTTATATTCAGATAGAATATTTAAAGAAGCGCTGCATAATTTGGAATGGAGCGTGAAAGTTAATGGAATTCTGATAAATACAATCAGA